TATATATATTAAAGATATATAGATATTAAAATTAAATTATAATATGCTATTATGAAATATATTATTAAATAATTTTATCTTAATCAAAATTTATTTATATAATACAGCCCATAATAAGGTATTTAATAATATATTTATTTCATTATTTTTATATTAAACAAATAAGTAAATTAGAAATTTAAATGAGTAATTAATTGACTATTTAGTTTTCTTATATAAAATTATTAACTAATAATTTTATAAAGTTAAATAAATAAGAAGTTGAATAGATTTAGAACTAGTAGATAACTACTTTATAAATTATAAGCTTAGTTTTTTTCAATAAAATAATATATTAAATTATAATATGTTATTATTAAATATATTATTAAATAATTTTAAATTAATCAAAATTAATTTATATAATACAGCGCATAATAACGTATTTAATAATATATTTATTAAACAATAAAATAATTTGTTTAGAGACATTAGTAAATGTGTTAGATTATTATGTTCAAGTTTAATTTTTTTCAAATTTTAAAATTTTAAAAAATATTTTTATTTATTTATTTACTCATCTGGACAAATATGTTAGTATATTAATGGAACCCAGCTCTACTTTCGTTCACGAAGTGCATTGATCTCTACTAGTCGTGGAGGTGGGTATATAGAGAGAGAGAGATCTCAAAGGAGAGATACCTTAGCGGAAGCTCGCGGCATGCTGCGCATGCAGTACTGGTACTACTGTATCGCTTTTGACTCACTGACAACTGCGGCATGACTAAATTAAAAAACGAGTAGAATCCAAATGCCAAATGGGCCTACTAAACAAACTTCGATCACTCAACGTTAACCAGAGCGTCGCAGTAATTTTTAGCGTTTTGGCAAACTTTTAAAGTTTATCAACAATCATCTATCAATATAATCAAAATAGCACGAAATTAATAATTACTCGTTAACCTTGAAGGCGTAAAATTAATGGTCAAAATCCACTTTTAACGTACCATTGGCCCTTAATCATGCAGATAGCTAGTCATGGAACAGCGGGAATGACGAACTCATCAAATCCATCGCCGCCGCCGCCGCGGCTGCTTCCTTCCGCTTCCATGGTCTTTCTCGAACGAACACGTCCTCGGTGCATGTGGCGTTCACAATACTTCTGATTTTGAACTACATCGCGCGAGCACCTCCATTTCTTCCCATCTGTCCTTCGACACCTCCCGGGCTCCGGCTCCAAACTGTTCCTATAATCCAAACACAAACCACCACATCCCGAAACTGCGCAAACCCACACAATTAGAAGAAAATAACAAGCGAACACAATGCCTAAGAAAAAAAAAAGGTTAAATAAATGATGTACAAGAAGGGCATTGATGGCCACCGCAGTTGGCAGCAACGACGCTTTTCCATATGGGGAGGACGAGGTGAAGGGGGACGGGAAGGCCGCCCTCCATGTACTTGTAGATGAGAGCTTGATGTTCCAGCTCTTGCATTTGCATGAAAGTAAAAATGGGTTTTTTTACGGGGCTGGGAACGGAACTCCCATTGAGGCCGAGGGTTAGAGGCGAGGGAGATGCGGCGGTCACAGATTTTTCACAAGGAAAACATAACCTTGATTGGGCGGAGGTGGGTGAGTGTGAAGAGAGGCGTGCAATCTTGGAAGGAGGAGGAGAGAACGGATGATCGTTGAGGGAAGATGTGTGCTCCTTGGTTGCCATTCTACGGTTATCTAGCGGCCATGAGTGTTGATGACATGGAACTTTTGTTCCACTTGGTTTGGTGATTTGAGATGCAGGGCCGAAGCTCGGAGGAAATTATATAGTAAGAGCTTAAAAATGTAAATTGAGCTTGCGCTCTAATACATACAATCACGCACCAATGGCGGCAGTCTGCAATTTTGGTAATTAAAAATGTAAATTTAGCTCCCGACTCTAAAGAAAATTATGGACTCTATTGAAAAAAAAAAGTTCGAAAGTGGGGCCATTTGTAATTAGATTTAGTGGTGTCGTACTTTGATGTCATTCATAAGGGCGATAATTGTGTGCGAGTAGACACGTGACTTTTAAATTGACTCAATATTTTACAAAGGTATTACGGGTGAATTTAGAAGGTACAGATGCTTTATTACAGATGCTTTATTTCTTAGGATTACGGGTGAATTTAGAAGGTACAGATGCTTTATTTCTTAGGATTTTTTTTTTTTTGAATCAATTATCTCTAAATTTTGTCAGTGAAAGATTATTAGATTTCTCTCATAAATATATATTTTTGTTTGAACCATAAGGATATACAATTTAAAGAATATTAATTATGTTTATGAGTGAGTAATTATAATTCACAAATATTGATGATACATCCCATTGATAAATTTGCACCATTCTACATGAGTGGAGAGGTATGATAAATATATCTAGAAGATTTTTTGAATAAATAATATTCAAATTTTGATTAAAAGTCATAGCTCAGATTTCAACAAACTTATAGTTAAACTGATCGGCTTGACGAAACGGACCCAAAGATACCAAAATCTAATCCGAGTTTAATTAAGCCCAAATCAAGTCATTTAATCAACTATTGAAGCTTTCCGAACATAGTTGGAAAATTGAACAAATTTCAAATATGACACTGTTATAGTCAAATTGAGTGTCTCGACAAGTTGAATCCAAAGAGCTTAAGATCACTCAATTCTAACATTTTTAAGGCTGTCAAATATTCATCAATGATCTCCTGATCAAGGGGGTCTCTCTAGGTCGTCTGATCAAGAGCGATCTGTATTCCTTATTTATTTTGCAAACTGAACTCTATAAATAAAGTCGTACCCCTCTTCATAAGAGGAGAACTAAACACTGGCAAAGGGAAGGTGGATCATGCAGAAGAGAGAGTTGCAACATTCCATGCACAACAAATCCATCCAACTCCGCTCGTTGTCGCCACCTTTGACCATTGCGCTTTCACACACTATCGTTGCTTTCGAACAACACCATCCATTATCGACCTTCTGCACTTACAATTAGAAACAATCGTCAACCACTACCGACCTCTCCCTTATGCAGTCGTTGGCCAATGCTGTTAGCCCAACACCAGTTGTCGCCCCCACTCCCCAACCCCACAACAAAGTTCTTTGTGAAGTCACAAAGTGCACTGTGAAACCTCGATGTATATTATAAAGTAACAACACACCCCACTTTTGGTGCAATAACACTTGACAAAGATTGTGTAATAATAAATCCCAAATATAATTACCTTTTCCAGACTCTTAAAGCCCCCTCCATGCAGCTCCTGACTTTGGCCCCTGCAGTCTACAAATGTCATCACAACTCACTACTATGACCACAAGACTAACCACGACTTACGTGGTTCTCACTACTATAACTCATGAAACTGAGCATCAAATAAAGAAAATATTTTTGGCCACTGTATTTCAAGATAAGGAGACATCAAGCTTGTATGTCAGGCTCTTAATCAAAGTGATCATTTTTAAATTTCATTGGAAGCTTGTATGCTTACAAAAACCTTAACGATAAAAAATAAAAAAAATTCATAACTCCTTATGCCTTTGTTACTAACACGTCCCATCACCCTAATTTAAGTAGCAATTTGAGCTGATAATGTTAGTAACACTCTTCAGGCCCTCCACCCAAAATTATGGATGGTGGAACTTGCTTGCTCATCCACCACGGATGGGACAATTAGACCCATAACCTCATTCTCTTGATAAGACCGATCAAGCTCTTAAGGTTGAATAAATTTACTGTCTAATATGATGGCATATATATTCAACTCATGATACACTCCTAGGCTCAATAACGATCTGCTTGGTAACAACATCAAAGCTATCATCACGATGTTGCCAACATTGGTTAGGTGTGCTGCCTCGGTGAAACTTCTCTCCTCTTAGCATCTCGATCGTGCCCTCTCTATTCCCAAGCTAACAGCTTATCAAATCTCACAGTCATATGATGTTCTTGCCAAAATCTTTTCAAGAAACCAATGAAACATATGAAATAACTTGCTATCGGTTTTCATCTTACTAACTAGATTCCTTCGCATGAAAAAAAAAAAATATCTCCTTAAAATTTACTTTCTACTTATTTTCAATTTTCCTCACTAGAAGATCCACCTCTCCATCAAGATGTAAACTCACTAAACAATTATGGTCCGTTTGGGGTAGCTTATTTGGTACGGTGGCATTTTGAAAACGTAACTAACATGTTTGAGTAAACTGTATTTTGGAAGCTTATGCGTTTTCAAAACGTTAAAAACAGCGTTTTCACACTGCACCTACCTAGGTGCGGTGACAACTTTCTAGCTGCAGTTTGACTTTTTCAAAAAAATAAAAAATTATAATAGCTACCGCACTTAGCTTATCAACAAATTATTTTTAATCAGCTTATCAACAAATTATTCAATAAGCTACAGCTGTCCCAAACAGACCCTTAGTCTTCCCCTTTGTATCTAAGTATTTTTTGTTCATATAGATCCCCAAAGTACCCTCTTGGTGGATAGTTAACCCACTATTATATTTCTATTATTTATATTGCATCTTAAAGCTGTTCATTGTGGATTTACATACACAAAAAAAAAAAAAAGTACTTACATATTTATTTCCTATTTTTCTCTTTTCATTTCTTACTCCAAAATAAAATTTACTAAGTTAAAATGGTACGCATGTAAATTTCAATTTACTTGAGGACTAAAAAGGTTATAAATATCGGAGGTCAACATTTATTTTTCTAGAAGTAATAATTCTCTTAATTCAATTATGATATGATGTAAATCTTGACATGAATTTTTTATGGCAGTATAGTATCTATCTTTTTTTTTAATATCGTTAAATTTAATATGTATAACCAACCCTGGAGCAACCACATTTTTATATAGATCTGTCGGAGCGCTGTAAATCACTTCAGCTTTACCACAATAAGAAAATCAATATTTCCAGCTGTTTCCGGCCGACACAGTACATGCACCACAAGCTAGGGTGACTCCTCAGGGCAGAAAAATCTTTTTCATCAGACGATACAGGTTACATACACGATTTTTAACTATAATCCAACGGTGTTATATCAATTAACTCTACGCACCCGTCCAAGCTTCTATGTAGCCGCGACTCGTGAACGTCACATGGCTGTTAAACTGCAGTTAACTAACTGTACTCAGTTCACTAACTTCAGTTAAGTATCCTTCGCTAGCTGCTTTTCCTATTAGTCCAGAAACCGTTCCGTCTTCCATTCAGTAGGAGAGAGATCAGTGAAGACAACAATGGCGAAGAATGTGCTATCTTCTTCCCTTCTAATGGCAGCAATGGTTCTCTCATTGTGGGCAGCATCAGCGAGAGGTCACAACATAACCGCGATCCTTGATGGCTTCCCGGATTACAGCGTATACAACAGCTACATGTCGCAGACGAAGGTCGCCGACGAGGTAAACTCTCGGGAGACGGTGACCTGCCTCGTACTCCCAAACGCAGCCATGTCCGCTTTAGCCGCGAAGCACAGCCTTGCCGCCATCAAGAACGCACTCCGCCTTCTTGTTCTTCTTGACTACTTCGACCCCCAGAAGCTCCACGACATCTCCCAAGGAACTACTCTCACAACCACTCTCTACCAGACCACCGGCAACGCACCAGGCAACCTGGGATTCGTCAACATAACCAATGTCCGCGGTGGCCGCGTAGCCTTTGGTCCCGCCTCCCCCGGCTCCAAACTCGCATCGGTTTACACCAAATCTGTCCGCCAGATCCCTTACAACATCTCTGTTCTCGAGATCTCCGCCCCGATTATCTTCCCCGGACTGCTTGACGCTCCTACAGCTGCCGGTTCAAACCTCACCGCACTTCTTGAGAAGGCCGGATGCAAGACATTCGCTGCCCTACTCGTCTCCACCGGCTTACTCAAGAATCTTCAGCCTGCAATGGATAAGGGACTCACCCTGTTCGCCCCCAACGATGAAGCGTTCAAGGCAGACGGCGTCCCAAATTTGAACTCTCTCAGCAGTGCCGACCTTGTTACTCTGCTCCAGTACCATGTTCTCTTGTCCTACACACCGAAGGAGTCCCTTAAGTCTGCAGATCACCCGATCTCCACTATGGCGACGGGCTCCTCTGGTAAGTTCGATCTCACTGTATCTTCTCAAGGCGACGACGTTACGCTCCACACGGGAGTCGATTCCTCCCGAGTGGCTAACACAGTCTTGGACGATACTCCTGTTTCCGTTCTAACCATCGACAGCGTACTTCTTCCCATCGAGCTCTTTGGACATGGTCCGGCTCCAGCTCCTGCTCCGTCTTCTCTGCCTCCTTCACCTTTGCCGTCTACGCCAGCACCAGCCCCTGCGGCGAAGTCCGCGAAAGCTCCGTCTCCATTGCCGCTGTCTCCACCGGCGCCGCCGACCTCATCTCCGGTGGATTCACCACAGGCGGCTTCAGACAAGGCCGATGACAAGAACTCGTCTGCAGCGGCGGAGATGGTGCGATCGATTGCTACGCTGATGGCATTCGCCTCCGCTGCGTTGTGGATGTTGGTGGTGTGAGGGAAGGAAAGGAGAAGTTTTTCGGTTAAAAATGTGAGATGAGACTGATCGACGCCATGGAATTTCTACAGTGATCATCTCTTTTCTTTTTTTGATTTGGGTTCCTTATTTGTTGTTATTTTCGTGTGTAATTTTTTTTACTGGCGAGGGCAATGCTTGTTTTGCCTTTTAGACGGTGATTGGGTTTGTGATTTTTTTGCTCCTCTTTTGACTGTTTCTCTCTTTTTTTAGTATTTTGTGGAGAGTTGTTGATTTAATTTTCGTACTTCCACTTGTCCTTGTCTTGTTCTCTTGTGGATGGACTGGTGAGCAGCTCTCTTCCCAATATTAAATAGGTGCATTCAATCCTTGTGTATATTTTTTTTTGGAAGGTCCGCACACTCATACGGCTGTGACATTAGCAAGAAGGTTTTTAATTGTTCGAAATTAATTGGAATTTTAACTCAAATAAGTGATGGGGTTTTTGTATTGAGGTCTAAAAAAAGACTCATTACATATAATAGTCCCGGAAAATTAAATTTACTCGTTAAGATTTCTGTTCCGGCGTCGCTCTGTCAGCCGGAGAGGAGCTCGCCGTTACTGCGCAGAGGAGCTCACCAAGGCATAAAAAAATCCTTTAATATTCCTCAATGAAGTTTCTGTTCGTTACTAGTAGATTTTCTGATAAAAAATTCATCTTTTTCTGAAAGATTTGGAGAGACAGATCGGGGTTATTGTTTGATTTTTGGTTCGGACTTCCCGTACCAAAAAACCTCCATCAACTACATGGCCATGGCGAGGTTTCGGTCGAAGAGTGCTCTTAGGCAGGCAGAGGCCGATGACGCAGGAGAGGGAACGTGTGAGCTCGAAAACAATGAAAAAGTTATTATTTGATCGTTGTTACGAAATGATGGTTTCAGTGTGAGGTTGCAGAGTCCGAGTTTTAAGGGAGAAATAGGGATGAGAGTGGCGGCGGAGTTGAGGTCGAAGACTGCAGGTATGGTTTGGGTCAGTGCGGGATGCTGGGCTAGGTGAGAGTCGGAAAATGGAGAAACACTTCGACCGGCTCTTCTGTGCCACCGCTATTGCAGAAGTCGTCCACTACCTGCGACGCCGGAACATAAGTCCTTCACCTTCACCCGTAAATTCGATTTTTTGAAAGCTTTATATTAATAGTTTTATTTGAGTGCTGATGCTTGTACACATGATAAATCTTGATTGGAGTCCTGAAACAATATTTTTCCTATTTAATTGGTCCAATACGCAGTGCTTTTGCGAAAGAATTTATGGTCATATGGTTGAAGAAAAAAACAGTTCTTTGCCTTTTAAATGATAAATTCGAATCCTAAATTTTATCGGTTTATGGATCGCAATTTAGAAAGAAAAATGTTCTCATTTCAACGGGTTTAGTTAACTTTTTGAAGGGGACGGGGAAGGCATCTATCTCCAAGGCGACACGCACCACTGAGCCTGACAGGGGCATGTGCCCTCTGAAAACGAGGCTGTGGGAATCTACTGGCTGCTTGGCCTTTTGTGTTTTTTTTTATTTAATTTTAAAAAATAAGATAATTTTATGGGGACGTTTTGATTATACATTTTTACTTTATTTAGAATTTGGTATGCCTCACTCAACTAAAATTGAATCGATTAATCATGCAATACATTATTGGATTCTAATTTGTCATTAGTCACATGGCTTAGATGACTTATATTTGAGCATATAGAGTAGAGAAAATGAGACACACTCAATGATCTCAAAGAACTAGTCCCACCTCCTTTAATTTTATATATGGCTCTCTCTATTTATCAACTTGAGAGATTTCAATTTACTCGCAAAAGTGAATATAAAAATTATATAATGATTTGGGGCCTTAAATGATCACTACAAAGAATAACTTTTTGTAGTCATCATTCGACTTACAATTGTGGTTTAGACAGTCATTAAATTCTAAACAGTGATATACAAACCATCATATGAGTTTTTTGTTTACTTTCATCGTAAAAGGATTTTACGGTCATTTAAAATTGCCGCTAAGGACCTGATATATATGACGGTTTATACCACCAAATTGGCGTTATGTTTACTCTTCATTATGTTAATGAGTGTTTGGAGCGGTTAAAAACCGTCTCTAAAGAAGAGTAAACATTAAATTTCGAGAATAAATTTCAATTGAAATATTTACAAAGATACCTGAAACCTATATGAGTGCAATACTCCAGATTTACATTTGATGATGGAGTTTAAGGTCCGTTTACTCTATATTTACAAAGATACCTGAAACCTAAACCCTAAACTCTTTTAAATTGTCATTTTTAATGACAGTTTAGACCAACATTAAAAATGGAGATTTAGATCGTCATTTAAGCAGAAATTTTTTTTATCAAGGCTGTTGCTAGTAATTTTTTTTTAAATGATCTGCTGCTCACAACACATAATTTACATGAATATAATTATTTTTTTTTATATATATATATATATATATATATATATATATATAAATTAAATCTCATTTAATCTATTAGCACTGAGAGCTATAGGGATCATGTGGTGACAATTGAAAATACCTGTAAATTTTACTTAGCGCCTACAGGTCCTAGAAAACAAAATCATTATAAAAAGCTACAAAAGTCAGAATATATCAGATTTCAAAATAAAAGGAGAAAATTACTGTCATCCATTGCGATTGATTCCCCCGAGCTGATCCAATTTCATATGTTACCTTATAAGAACGAAAGATTTCCATATAATCAGTGTTATATGAATGATATCTGTACCACAAGAAATAGCACAATAAATTAAAAAAGCAAAGAAATTTTTGTCATTGCTGTAAAAGAGTCATATATCATCCTATTTGCTATATTTTACTAGCATATAACCTTATTGTGATATATAAGTTTGATTAAAAACAATTGTATAGCAATATATATGAAAGTTTACGAGGATATATGAGTGAAAACTCTTTCAATAATATATTTTCAGTTAGCTGTAATATAAGAATCATATTTAAAATCATAGTCGAATTCTCATCCCGAGCCAATTTTTAATTTGTTTTCAATGATGGGAATTATCAGTAATTTAAATGTCACTGCTATAGATTGAAATTTAGTAGAGCATCGATGTATGCTATAACTACCAATAAAGTTTTTGTCTCAGCATTCATGCACATATTTGTACGTGTTGGACTATGAACCTAAGATCTTATGATTATGGACAAAACATCTAATCGTTGGATCAAATGGGCTGCACAAATGATCAATCTAATTACCCAAGTACAAGCACATCATAAAAAAAAATCACAAAAAAAATGTCTTATTTTAATAAAAATAAAAAAAAAAATAAAAAATATTAATTGTTCCATTCAAATAATGAATGCTCATCATCATAGTTACTATTATTATTATTTGAATTTATTAGAAGGTGAAATCTTAGTCCAAGTGTAAATTTTTTTTTTATATATATTTAATTGATTCTTTGTATATTCAAATTTGAAATCCAATTCATGTCTCCGATCTGTTGGGGTAACTACAAATTCTTAAAAAAATGATTATAATGTTTTGGTTGAGAAAACTACTACTTAAAAAATGTGTTAGGAATTATAATTATGCATATAATTTTTTTCAAAAAATCAGACAGCAATTTTCTTACAATCACTATATATTAACATCGACAAATTGAAAAAGAAGCTTCGCACAACAAAAAATTATAGAAAAGAGTTCCTAAACAGAACTATGATGATATAAAATGTAAAATATGCTAAAAGCCATCTTAAACGGACCTTAAACTCCATCATCAAATGTAAATCTAGAGTATTGCACTCATATAGGTTTCAGGTATCTTTGTAAATATATCAATTGAAAATTATTCTCAAAATTTTAGGTTCAAATTTTGCATATATATAAATTTTGTTGCGAGTTTCACCATTCACAACGTTACCTCTTAACTCCAAAAGAACGTTTTATAAATAATATTTGCATTTAAAACTAATCGAACAGAGATTCATTGAAGAATTTGAAATAAAAAGTTCATCCCTTGCTTGAGAATCTGCAAATATTAATAAAATAATTTTAGTGAATTTATTAATCAGCTGCATCAAAGTCTTAATTAATTGCGATTTTGAATTAAAAAATCTCTAATCAACTTAAACCCAATGAATTCATGATAGAATCCTCAATCCCAATCCCAAGTTTGCCTCTTGCAATTAATTAAGTCCATGCATTATTGCTCAATTCAGTTATGTGTAGAAGTAGATTTTATTTAATTTTTATATCACTGTATTTCATATTTCAAGGTCATATAATAATAATAATAATAATAATAATAATAATGGATACGCCATCAATAAATTTTCATCATCTTACACAAATTTCAAAGCATACGGATCTCGAGAGAGCTCCGATTCCAACAAACTTATAGTCAAACTGACCGGTTCGATGAGATGAACCTAATGATATCAAAGTTAGTTCAATCTGAGTCAAATCAAGCTTAGATCAAGTCATTAAACCATTCTTAGAAAATTTCCAGACACATTTGTAAGGTCGAACGGAAGTCAAATCGGACCAAATTATAGTTGAATCGAACGTCTCGAAAAGACGAATCCAACGAGCCTAAGATCACTCAATTTTGACATCATTAAGGCATTCAAATGTCCACTAAACATCGTCTGATTTAGGGAAGCTCCCCGGACCGTCCGATTAAAATGGTTCATTTCTTGCATTAATTACACCCAAAACACAAGAAATAGAGCACCACCCCTCTCATGAGAGGAGAGCTTAAGCCTAGAGAGAGAGCCCGAGTCCTTGTGAAGGAGCTGCAGCTTAGCATCATTCCCGATCGTTGTCAACCATCACCAACCTCGGTCAACCACCGCCTACCTTCGTCGACCACCTTCTATCATCGTCGACCACCGTCGACCTCTGCTGACTTCTGACCATCGTCATCGACCATCGCTAACCACCATCGATCACTGATACACCTAAAATATATAATCTTCATGTACACGTTTTTATACATATTTTCAAGATATTGTGCTTTAATGAAACGTATTTGTTTGTTTTTCTTTCAGGAACAATCAAATGTATGAAAAATTATGAAAGGAGTGAAAAAGAAAAAAAAAATTGGAGCAAAAATGAACCATGACGCCTAAGCGCTTAAGACTGGCGCTTACGTGCCAGTTAAACAAAGAGAGCCGTGCCTGAGCGCTAGGTACCTCGCGCTTAAGCGTCAAAAGTGATTATTTGATAATTCATTGAA